AAATGCAAGTGTGTGCATATCTTTTGTATAATTGGTCTGATATTTCGTCTGGTCTACGGCGGATTAAAAGTGGGGCAAGACTGGCGACATCTGTTTTTGTACAAAGTATGCATGATCGCCTTTCTAACCTCTTTTCCGTGTTCTGTGACTGCATACGACGAAGGAAATACATATATAAATCTAAACTATCATACTTCATGCGACAAAATGAGTTTGTTTCATACGATTGACAACGCTTTGACTAGTCATCGACTGTTTTATTTATATATGATTCCTACTAACAGGTTTATTAGAATGGAAGATATTGCGAAGTAATATGAGCTTATGGGCAATAATAGTCAAGAAGTATCTGTATCTTGTTTGATATTATAGAAAATACGCAATAAGCGATTAATTTATCCTATTTACAAAAGCCATATGTTCTGATTCTGATAATCACAATAAGTATGTTTGACATTCTCTCAATGACTCCTATTTTTAATACTTTTTCCCTTTTTTTTGATACTAGCTGTGTTTTCATTCTAAATTATAGCCTCTGTCACTCGGGTTTTCTACTCATTTTGAAATAATTCTTGTATCTGTTCATTTAATTTAAAAAAGCTTTATAAACAAAATAAAATAAACACGTATTTTAAAATTTTCTTTTAAATTAAATAAAAATTTAAACTTTTTTTATACTCGCGATAACGCTGTCCATAAAATTCATGCCGTCATTGTGATACGTACACCAAACAGATGCACAGAGTACAAGATTAAAATCAAATCTAATCTGACAGTTGTCGTCACATTAATGTCACACAATAGCGAGTCGTCTTTCACGTGACGCATAGTCATAAATTCCCGTCTTTTAATTTGTAAATATTAAGATAATCGTGCGACTTTAAGACTCAATATCAGAATCTCTATGTATATGACGGTATTAATATTAGTTTTTGTGCAATTTCGTGACTTATTTTTCACTACGGAAAATACCCTATTCTCAAAATCAATCCAGCAGTTTTGAAGCTTATTCAATGCAAACAAAGAAATAAATCTATTCATAATTAGTATTGTAGGATTTTTTCTTATATATAATGAATGTTTGTTATTCGCGTTAGACGACGTCACTGTTTTTATAGTTTATTTCACAAAAGTTTAAAATAATAAAAAGTCATTTGAAAATATATTAATGTTTGTCAGTTGGTGGCATACGCCTAACTGACTCTAATAACAATTAAATTATATTGTAGCAGAAAATGTTAATCCGCATAAATACGTACTTTGAATCGAGCCACATACATTGTATGCATACGGTTGCATAACCGTACAAGTACAGATATATCATACACTATTGCGTTTTATTTTTATTTTCTAATTTCTAAATTTTTTCAGGATTTTAAAAAGATAGTATTTAATTTTACCTTATTGCGCAGCTTGTTAACAACTCTAGTATAATCTCGTCAACTGAGGTAAGGTAGAACGTATTGCTGTAACGTCCCAGTAACCGGTAACTATAATCAGTATTTTTATGTTTGCATATTTCTACTAACAATCAATCAAAATTTGTATATGGCTATATTTTTTTGGTAATATTTTAAGCAATTATAAAAGAAAAACTTATGAAAAAGGTGTAATGGCGGCCAAAGTGTTTAACATCAAAAGTGCAGACTCCAAAAATATTAAGGAAGCTGTAGGTTTTGTTAGTGAATTACGAAACTGAATTATCTTACGATTTAACCTATGAATTGGGGTGAAACCAAACAGAGTGGCTGGTTATATTCTTCGGACTTCTGTATAACTTGCCGCAGCGTATGAATATGGCCCACGGTACTATAGCCTTTTCCGAAACTAGCTTGTTCGGGTGGTTGGAAGTCGTCTAACCAACGAGGGAGCCAACTTTTAACATGGCTCAGAAGCGAGATGGGCCTATAGTTTTTCAAGAGTGCTTTATCACCCTTTTTGAAAAACAGAACAACCTTACTCCCACTTTATCCTTTCGGCGTTTTATCCTAGAGACTAATGGCATTGAATAGTTTCTGAAAGAATTTAAGTATCGGCTTACCACCCGTTCTCAGAAGCTCGTGAGGTGATTCCGTCGTCACTCGCTGCCTTGTTAATTTTCAATTGATAAAGAGCCATACTTATCTTTTTAGGCTGACATCCAGGATCTCTTCAGTAAATCTCTTCGGGCAAGCTTGGCTCTAAGATCTCTTGCATTGCTTTCGGCAGGTGCTTGCATGGAGTACAGGTGTCCATAGAAACTCTCGATCTCCTTTAAGATTTCCGTTTTTGACGAGACGATGTTACCGTCGTCAGATTTCAGCTTCGTCAATTGGCTTTGCCCCATAGACAGATTTTTCGCGAACACTCTAGTGCCTTAGTTCCGCTCAACTGCCTCTTTAATACGTTCCATATAAAATCGGTGATGGTTGCATGTCAAGGACTTTGATATCTACCTATTTAGCAGCCGATAACCACTTGTATCCATTGAGTTTTGCAGTCTTATTTCGTGTCTCATTTGCTTGAGTTGGGGTGTGTTATAAGAGAGTTTTGTAGAACTTGTATACGAACAGTATCCATCAACATGCTGTTTGACATCGTCCACCTCCAAATTGCTGTCAAGGACGCCATAGCGGTTCTGAAGCTCTAGTTAAAACTTTCGGGGTTTTGTGCAAGTATTGGTAGGAGCGTAGATTTCATCAATCGAGATCTTTCTAACCTCATATTGATATTCAATGTGCCTTGCACCAGTCGATGATCGCTTCCTGTTGTAACGGCTATGATAACAGAGACGTCATTGAATATTTGCTTCTTGTTGACATGATGAAATCAATCTCGGTTTTGGCTCTACCGCCTGGACTCATCCAGGTCCATTTTGATTTAATGGCTTCCTGAAGAAGGAGTACATCATGTAGAGATTATCTTTTTCCATGAAATTAAACCTAATAAAACCTAAGAAAGACGACATAAATAATTTATTAATTTGTTTTAATTATAAACGATGAGGATTTCTTTGATAGATTATGTAGTTTTAGGTTAAAGCTGCCAATGTCAGAAAGTTACGAGATCAATCATATTTCATGGTTTTTTTGTCATTATTTTATTTGTAACTTTAAGATATACTTTTTTATTGCTTTCTGAGATAATAAAATTTACTAATCATAATTTCTCGATGGAGAAATTTGTTTAAATACTAAAACTGGTTATGTTTCGTCAAGTTTATTTATTTATTATTTTATTTATTCATTATTTGCTTTTATATTTTCTTGCTTTAGATATCTAACGCATTTTAAATTAGTATTAATTAGTATCTTACTAAAGTGATAAGAAAGATTTTTTTATATAAAACTAAATCGTAGTTTCATGAATTAATTTAGTTAGTTTTTTATAAAATAATGTGATTTATAGTAGAGTTCATTTAGATATATTGATAAATAGATAGAAAGAAAATAGTTAATTATTATTTCGGTTCTGAAATCTATTTCGTTAAAATACTTTTTGTTCATGTGCCCTTTTTATAGTCCAATTTATTTCAAACAAAGAAACACAATAAACACAAGAAACACAATAAGTTAAAATACTTTTTGTTCATATGCCCTTTTTATAGTCCAATTTATTTCAAACAAAGAAACACAATATGTAAAGAATAATATATATATGAACTTTAACCTCAAGCAATAAAATTTAAATTCGCGTTAGAAAATACTGGATAGTAGGACAGATTACTGTCTATTAGTTCAAATCTACCGCGTGTAGAGCAAACTGGTCCCTTTCATATTTATTCGTATTATCGTGTATTAACGTTTACTTTAAAAGAATTACCTATAAGATTTTGTAACCATAATAATTTTAGTGTAGCAGACTAGCAAAGCTAGCGAAGTTCAAAACTTATTGGTTACTGGGCCGTTTACTTTAACCTAGCAAAATGTAAGTTAGTATCCGGGCTAAGGTTCTTTAAGATTGCAAAGCGATTAATGTTTTGATGAAGATTTTATAAGTATAGTTTTGACACGATCCTCTTTAAAGTATACCAATATGTGTTAACACGTTTCGCGATGGGTGTAAGCATAAAGGTTCATATGAGTTGGATATTTTAGAGCAGAAGCGGTAGTGAGCGCGATCGCGAAATTGTTTAAAAATTGTAATGTTCCTTCATAAAAATAAATTGACAACATTTCAGTACTGAAATTCTTATCTTATATGGGCTCCAAATTTCCACAGGACGTCTTTATCAGTTCATTATAAGATGCATGACCAAAAACTTATTGTCGCGAATTTCTAGGTGCTTACTTGGAAATAAGCCTCTAGACCCGGCTGCAGTCGTTAGCACCCATCAATCCGCATATAGCCTGCATCGTTGGTAATACAGCGAAAGCCCATAAGTAGAGTCATTATTACCTATTTTATTTTAAAATACTTATAGTGTAGTCAAAAGACGCATATTTTTTAAATATTATCATTTCGATTTACTTTCGTCACCCAGTTCATATTACGGTTCTATGTTTGTTTATAGGCCAACCCCACGGCTAAATGAGTTTAAAAATTAATGCGTACTTAACAAAAATATCTCAAAACAAACATAACACCATTTGACGTTGACATATTTCATTAAAAATTTTATTTCGCTCGGCTTTGGAAGGTTAATTGAACGCAATGTTTATCAATTTAAATTAAAAATGGTAGATGTAACGACATCAATTAATTATATTATTGTAAATCTATTTTCTATTAATTCGTTTTAAAAGGAAGTCGGTTCATAATAATAACTTCATGGTTATAATAATAACTAAAGTTTCATGAATATATAAATAAAGTGTTTTTAGATAAGGATCATTATTTATTTACTACTAAAAGATTAATTGGTCTAGGATTACATAGGTCTGTCCAATCCTGGGTCTAATTTGTTTGGCCTATCCTACTTCTACCAATCAAGTCTGTGATTGAATTAGGGACTTCTTTTTGACTGATCAATCGTTGCTTCAATTAGATGGTAGAGCCGCTAATTTTTTGAGTTCACTTACTTGATAGCTACATATCTCCATACTGCCAGGGAGAGAGTGAGACAGATGGATGCCGTGTGGAAGATCTGCGTGAAGTGCATGTGAAATAGAAGATAAGCCGCCCAGTTGTATGGCATCTCACGCTGCTCAGGCAGGATCTAGTAAAGCACATTATAAAATAAGATTGGCTAAAACAAGTGGGCTAATTGTCTAATTTCATCATCCATCCCAATCCCTTTCCAAAAGTATAGCAATTATGATATCAATTTAAGGAATTATATAACCTTTTACTTTTATAAAGTATTACTTTACTACTATTTTATAATTATATTACTTTATATAAACTGGCAATCGCTTTTGGAACGAATGATGATTTGAATCAAGAAATATAACAAAAACATATCTAAACCAATCAAAAGATCGCATTTGCATACAACCCTTTCGTTTGTCATTTCTTAATATATTTTCAAGGTATTTGCGATTGATGCTTGCTTTAGACAATCTAATTAAAATAACGATATCGTTCATAAAAAAGAAACGTCGCGGTCGCAATTGCTATCACGTTTCAAATAGTTATTATTTTTTAGTTTCCCATTAACCCTAGGATCATTCTAATTTAAACTGAATAATTATGTTATCTTATTACTAATCTTATGATTGAAACACATTATTATTGCACGATATTTATGATATTCAACATGGAAATCCTCTTTAACAAGTGTGTTTTGGTCATTATTGGCTTATTAATGCTCAGGCACACTTTCCCTATATATAGAATAGAATGTTATGTAATTCTTAATAAGGTCATTTATTAAAAAAAAAAACTATAGAGGGCCGTCGACACTTTTATATTATGGTCGTTTTGATAAATCAAGGAATTTTATTCATATGCAATCATTAAAAAAAAAAGCAACAACAATAAACATAAATCAATCCTAATTAAGGTACTGGCTTACCAGATATCTATAGATGGCAAATGGAACATATTCCATCATCACGAAGACATCAGCTACAGCCAACCATTTTAGTAGTCTATTAATAGGCGCTGCAGCTAGATCGCGCCTAGTCAACACTGCCACGTTCAGTGCGTTTGCCAGACTTCCAAAGAAACACACCTGTAACCAAATTATTTTTTAATACGGGATAGTTATAGACAATAACAATATACAAATATTAATGTAAATTTATCGTCGCTTAATGCCAATATCTTAATGCCAACTGGCATCAGATATGCCTGGTAACTACTGGACCAAATTTTCAAAACTGTTTCACCTACATGAACATACATTATACACGGGTATTATTACGCGAGTGAAGTTGCGAAAAAATAACTAGTATAGTATACGATGATTAACCGAACCGCAGATTGCAACGCTAATATATGGTAGAGAGAATTGGGTGTCAGAGAGAACATGAATGTAAAATAAATGGAGTCGAGGTGCATTCGTTATTTGGGGAGTAACACTCCCCGACTGCATTCATAATGAAAAGATAGGAAAGTAAGTTAATCTGAAAGATTAAAATCAACATAAACTTGCTCCATTGGATCAGACACGTAGAAAGAATGCCGGAGGACAGAATAACAAAACTATCAGTTTTGTTATATACAACGCGAAAATGGAGGATGAAGAAGCTGAGAAAGGTCACAACACACCTTTTACGATCAAATTAATCGCTTGATGTAGAAGATAAAGCCATAATAGCAGTGAGCATGTATGAAAAGAGTAAGGAAAGTGGTAGGTGCGAAAGAATTATGTAAAAATCGTGTCAAGTGTTCCGCAATATGGCGTAATGTAATAGATAGATATACTTTTTTATACGGGTTGGATGGTAACATACAAATATTGGATGATACAATAGTAGTCTGACTACTGATTATAACAATGCTAATAAAAAAATCTAAATGTAGATGGTCACGCCAACACATTGCCAATAAAAAACATTAAAAGTATAAATGTGCTTGCGGAAATAGTATCGGCCTGGAGGCGTATTCTGAAATATGAAACACGATTTTTCGACATTATTACTGGCCCAATTATCAGAAATTGGAATACGTGGAGTTCCAAAAATAAATGATAACAATCGGACAATACTCATTGTTTGGATATCATAATTTTTGACAATGTTTCCGAGTAAACAGCTATACAAAAAAATAAAAATGTAATATGTAGTAAAATATATTAATGTTATGGTGATATAATTGATGTTTTCCTACTTTCACCGACGCATTTATTTTTGTTTTAAAAAAATTTAAATGATGATTTACTGAAAGAAAATTTCTTAAAAAAACTACAATTATTTTTATTTTGTTGGTTAAATATTAATAATATATAATTATTATTTAAGATCGCTATTTAAATATCATAGGTATTTTGCTAAATTGCGTGTGCTTTGACACATACTGTAAGTGAGTAAATGATTGTGAATGAATAAATTAATAAAACGGGTATCATAAAAGATCCCTTATGTGATCGTCACGCTAGCCGTTCGTCCATCACAGTGGATTTAGTCTATTATTTCCGTCATTAATTTGATAATTGAAATGACTCCAATCACAACTTCAAAATAACAAATATATTCCAGTGCAAAACAATAAATTATATTATGAATATTATAAACTTTCAACTACCTGAGGAAATTATTCTTGCTAAGGCTGAATTTACACGGTAATATACTTTTATGCTTTAACCAAAAATGAAGGTTTAAAATAGCTACTCTATAGTAATACTGTAAAGAGGGGAAGATTATACATTGTTGATTTGTTAGTAGATCTTAATTTTTGGAAATGAAAAAAATCTGATTATGTAAATTCACTATCTCATAGATGAGAATGGCACGCATGAAAAGGAGGCGAAATAATAATTCTAATGTCACATATCATTAATTTCAAAGAACAATCGCTATGTCCATCTCCTTCGGTTTCTTAGATATAAGACTTCCTTTACGAAATCTACGAAACGCCATCCTTGGTCCTCTATCTTATTAAATAACGAGGACTAACTCTAGTACCAGATTTAAGACATTATCCGATCATCGAAATAAATAAACATGTTCCAATTTGTTAATTTATTTTGATCGGATAATCGTTTTAAAAAAAAAATGAACTCACTTAAAGTTTGGTACAGTACAATACCGTTAAAATTTCGAATATAAAATATAAAAGAATATTGAAATTTGAATAAAGCGGTAGGGGATATATTTTTATTTCGTTTTAAAATCCCCCGTGTCACCAGATCAAAGCCGTCGTTTTCATAATATATAACAAATATTTTTATTATTAATATTAATATATAACAAATATATTTATTTGCCCTTTAATCCCTACACTCTAGTAAAGAGTATTATCTATACTAATATTATAAAGCTGAAGAGTTTATTTGTTTGAACGCGCTTATCTCAGGAACTACTGGTTCGAAATGGATTTTTTTTTTGTGTTGAATAGACCATTTATCGAGGAAGGCTTTAGGCTATATAACATCACGCTGCAGCTATTAGGAGCGAAGAAATAATGGAAAACGCGGACGAAGTCGCTGGCGGCCACTAGTATTTAATAAGCATTCAAAGATTTTAACATAATAAATTTTACGATATACCAAAAAAACAACTAAAATTACAACTATTTAGGACTTACACGCAAATGAAGTCGCTGGAAAAACTTAGTTACATGTAAAATTCATGTTAATTTTGCATGTATCAACAAGTGTACACGCATAATAAATCAGCATTACACATACACAAGCTGATATTTATTAAAAATGGGAATAAACAAGCGACTTGTGGAACTGACACCCGTTTTTACTAACCTATAATAAGGCATCGTTAAACTAGGAAAAGCCTTAACTTACGAATCGTCTAAGCATACTAGTTTAATTTCATTTAAACATTTATTCTTATACCTATCATCTTACGCATGCCTAGCGCAAGACGCCGCACAACATAATTCATAACTTTAGCCGTTAGGTGCTTCCTGGTCATTTTCATAAGCGAAATGCATTTTCACCTAAGGCGATTCTTAAATATTTAGGTGACTAAGGATAATGAAACGTGCAAAGAGTAACCCTCAAATACGTTTAGTAACGTAAGTTACATACTAGCAAAACGGATATAATATTTATACGTTGGAGTTTAGCATCTAGCACTGTATTGTGGATGCAAAAAGGTTAGCAGACTGGCCTATACAGGCCATAGCCAAGTAGTTTTCCGACTGATATGATGACTTTAACTTACTCAAACTCTGCCTGTTTCACTCATACTACATAGCCGTGAAAATTTGCATGCATCTCACTTCTTGATTTGACATTTAGACATTTCAAGTCAAATTATTTCCATATTTAACATTGTAAGCGCACCTTTACTATTGTCAAGATTCAAAGTCGTCACATAAACTCATTGTAGCGTGCAGAATATTGTTCGAGGAATTCAATTATTTAAAGTTTCGTGTTATTTTGTAAAGGGGAGAATATAGATAGATATAATGATCATTATGAATCTGAGATGTCTGAGCTCACGCTGGAGACAGACACTAAGGGTCGATATGTCGCTTCTCGGAAATACTAATCACAGAAGACGAAATAGACTGCCATCTAAGAAGTGGGCGAAGTAATATCACTAACTAAAATGTTAACACTAACGCATTTTCGCAGAATGTCGCTATGAACGCACACGTCAAAATTGTTACACACTTTCATAAATCATACGCACACAATCATATTCCCACAATGGTACTTCTAGACGTCTCACATCGCAACACTATAAAATGGCGTGAAATAAACCGATGGTCGTAGAGACTTCAAATTGTCAAAAAGGGTGGAAACATTTGTATGAAACTTCTTTATTTTTGGACCTATATCGATGAAAATAGACATTTGGAAACTTAAAGATAGCTATACTACCTGAAACGCCATCAGGCTATACTACCTGATGGCGTTTAAGCTAAACTAAAATAAGTTATTATCTTGTTCAAAGAATTTTGCGTAGTTTTTCAATTTTTCTGTTGTGTCTTAATTTATATGACAGTATATTGTATTTTTTCAAACAATGTTGTATACACCAGATATTGGATATCATGTAAGCCTTGTACAATCATTTCCATAATTAAAAAAAATGTAACTATATGTGTATTTATTGCTGTACATTAAATAAATAAATATAGATTTTTGTTGTATTGATTTCGAAGTTGAACATCAAGGTAATTTTATTCTAATATCGTGGATATTTTGCTATTTATGAAATTAATAATTTTATTTCGTATCGTAATTTCGTGTCTTATTATTACTCAGCTAATCGACGTTTAACCGTGCAAATGAATTTCGCTATACTATTATAGGGCTAGCCGCCTAATTGGTTGGATGTTTTACCAAATTGGCTACGACATATACATTGTATAATAACCTTTTTTCATTAGTTCACATAAACTCTCCTCAATTTAATCTCGAAAAAAAAAAATAGCTCTGTGTTTAAGAGTAGACCAAATAATTGTGATTTAAAGTCTATTTATTTCAGTACCTGTCTGGTATTCTCTTATTATATTACTAGCTTTTGCCCGCAACTTCGTCCGCGTGGTTTAGATACTTTGGGCAGCATATATTTTCCAATAATAGGTACTGTTGTTATTGTTGAAATTACCTTGATGTTTAAGTTCGAATATACTACAACAAAAAAAACAACAAATATCCAAGACGTTTCAATACTTTATCTTTGAAAACTTTAGAGATATTAATCCAATCCAATGCAATTTGAAATACAGATGAAAACTGTTTTTTCATCTGTATTTCAATTTGCATTGGATTGGATTGGATTCTGAAGTTTACACAAAACTTAAGAAACGTAATCTATGCAAAATTCTTTGACAGAAACGTTAGCGCCGATAACTTTGGCATAAACGTCATCTAGTAAAGCAATGCTTAAATTTCTTACTAAATTTTATTTTAAAACTCACTACTCTACTATCTATACTTTAAGATTTAAAATGAAATGGGGAAATTTGACAGTTCTGCATAGCCAGATGTGCTGTTAACTGTACAGCAAAATATTATCTATGTCGGCAGCACTTTACACTTTGTTCATTCAAGAAATATAATACAATAAAACGTTAACATGATTTTTAAAATAAATA